GTCCAGATAGATGCACGGACTCATCCGGTGACGGTCCACTTCGAGAGAAGGACGGAACAGGAATATGTGAAGGCAGCGATACGAAAAGTGCGATTGATTAACGCCAAGTTGCCTAGAGGATCGATATTGGTATGGAAAAATGCAGTGCCCGGGGATCGAACCTGCGTGGGTGTGCAGGTGTTCGTAACTGGCAAGTCTGAGATCTACGAGATGTGCGAGGCGTTGGGAGCCAAGCCTCGAAGGAAGAAGGAAGCACACAATCAGTACATTGACAGTGATCAGGAAGATGAGGATTCGGACGACGATGAGGAGGAAGCTCCTGTCACGGGTGAGCGTTGGTCCTGCACATTACCATTCATAGGGTTATCCCTCGAAATTGATGCCCTCGTTGGCGAAGTTGATTTCCTTTATCATGAAGTCGGTCCTTATTCGCGGAATTTAGATCCTCGTTCGAACCGCATCAAACTGATTTCCATATCATCAAAATGACACAATTTATGTCCTTTCTCGTGCATGTGAATTCGCCAACCTATAGTTGAATGTATAGTTGACTCTTTTCTGTGGAGCGTGTGGAGACATCAGCTGGCCAGTGTGATGTGTTCAGAGTCCTCGTCAACTCCCGAGACCCCCGTAGAGAACGCACGTACGGAGGAGACTCTTTCGCCTGCAGCATTCAAGCTGTCGGAGTCTGAGCAGGTCGAACAGATCATACTGGAGAAAGGCAAGTTCGGTATTGGAGGAAAATATACTCGCTTCTCTCAGTCGAGCTCAGAAGTTCTTCTCATTAGATGTGGAAATTTATACACAACTCAGAGTAGGCGTGTACAGAAAAAACCGAAAATTTCCCTGGAATTTTCATGTTGTTTCGTTTTTATATTTTCCTACACTGGGAAAGCTAGGCTTAGGCTGTCAGTGTTTGTGAGAGTTTCGTCAGCTCTGGCTGTGGTTTCCGGCTGCCGAACGCAACATTCCCTTGTGAGCTCAATACTAATGTCATAGGAATAACGAAAAATTTTGAGACTTGACTTATAGGGACACGTGCTCCAGACACCTTGTGATCGATGACGAGACCTGGGCATTCTACTACAGTGTCCTTCAGTTCAACAAGGTGTTGTAGGTTGTAAGAAGGCCTCCAGTGGTAGCGGCCACAAGGGCGGTTCGGCGGCCTTCACTGGTGCAGCATTCGGATCTGGTCGGCTGGTCCCGATACCACTCTATGCGCAAATGTCAACGACCAAACAAGCGGAAGCCTTTGTAAAACTACCAGAGACTATCACATTGATGACCATCTGTGTTTCAGAGGACCCCGGCTGAGGACGAGCGTTTTGTCATCATAGCGACCAACGTGGCAGAGACCGCTCTCACTTTGCCGAATATCCGATACGTAGGGGCTTGGCAGGCTCATGCAAGGTAGTGCTTATCATAGGTCGTGGACACTGGACGGGAGAAGAAGCGAGTGTATCGTAACGATGGGGTGTCTGTGTTCAAGGTTGGTGAAAGGTCTCGGTACATGTGTGTCGAGGGAAGTCATCTTCAGGTGGGCTTCTGTGCCTCGAGTTCCGCAGATCAGCGCGCCGGTCGAGCAGGTCGTGTTGGCCCTGGTCACTGCTATAGACTGTAGATATAACCTACTATTGTCGTCTACCTCAACTTGCATCGTCTTCAGGTACTCCGGAGCTGTTTATGGTGATACCATGTCGGACTTCCCCGTACCAGAGATAGCTAGTGGTCAGCCTCTGGACGATACAGTGTTGATGATGGCCAAGATGGGTGGGTGTATTGACTCTCTGCAATGCCGTTATCATTCTCGCTAGGCATCCCTCGGTTCCGACATTTCCCATGGCCAACGCCTCCGCCTGTGGCAGCGGTAGTGCATGCTGTTACAACTCTATCGGAGTTGGGTGCAGTTCGGCGTATCGGTATTAGCAGTGATGAGGTCACCATAACAAAAACAGGCGAAGCGATGTAGTGTCACTAACAGTGTGATTTTTCGAATCGTGTCTCTATCCAGATCTAACTTCCCTGTGGCACCTCGTCATGGGTGTATGCTGGTTCATGCTGGTAGGCTCAGAGAGGCCAACAACACTGAGTGGAGGGACGTCCTTGTACGTGTATCGATGGTCTCAGCTTGGCATGCCTAGTGACAGGTGATGGTAGTGTGTGTAGTAGCCGCCCTAACTGTGGGGGATTTGTTCATACCCCCGCCTCAAGAAAAGAAGGACGAGAAGGTAAGAATAGTAGCAACATAGTGCTGAGGTGACTCCTGTAGGCAAGCAAGTTACCTGGGTGGAGCAAATGCAGTTCGGATATCGAGGCACTACTGTGGTCCGTGGGTGGCTTTATGTGGACTAAGTCGGCGGACCAAGACGTTTTCTGTAGGCTTATATTAGTGCTCTTGCTCAAGAATTGTCTACAGGCGCTCGCCATATGCTACGGTCGAAAGCGTTGAACGAGGCGGCTAGTTTGACAAGGCAGCTACTGTCCCAGATAGATCACTATTTGTAGCCGCATCTGCGCACTATAAAGGATTCCTATTGTGGTTTTCGTTATCATTCAGGGATCTCAACGATGTGGAAAGGGTGTCTTTGTGTCGTCCACGGCCACCTACTGCTAAGCAGTTGGCTCTGGTACACGAATGCGTTACTCGAGGGCTCATAGATCATATTGCGTACGCTGCTGGGTGCGGGGTCGGAGTAGTTCAGCTCGTTCCATGACAGGTGCAAATCGACTCTGGACACGCGGTCCTATCTAACTAGAAACCACATGGTTGTCTACATTCATCGCGAATCTCTTTACTACCGGAGACGGCCGAGCGAGTTTGCTTATACTGAGATTGTTAAGGCCAGCGATTCTCGCGGGAAGAATGTGGCAAGAATTTGTAAGTTGTCCATTGCGCCTCCTATGCAGCGTATGGTGGTTGTGGTAGGCGTGGCCGTCGATACTGATTTCCTGGCTAAACTCGATTGCCCGGAGCTCATCAGGCGTGGCCCACCGTTGAAGATGCCGGTACTGTGAAGACGAGATGAACCACGTTGTGTAGCGTTACATTTTAGCCGCCTTTCTATTCTGCAACCAAGGACCGAGTAACGGCTCACTTCACACCGACATACATTCCTCTGGACATGCCCCTGCCCACTGTCGGGATAGATCTCTCGACTCGTGATCCTCTAGGCTTGAAGGTCTTTGCTTG